ATTATGATAATGATGGCGACGGCGATGCCATAAGAAACAACAGAGTCCACAAGTTGCAAGCTGTCAGCTGTCCTCATGCACGGTTTCCGTAATGCAGTAGTTGTGCAGCCTGCGGAGCTTGCTCATGGGGTCTGCAACCGGGATTCCTTTGCACGGGAAGCCGTACTCGTCCTTCACGACTATGACACGTGCAGCGAAAGCCGGCTCCGATTCAGCATCGATGTGCCACTCTGTCTTCAACTGCTCCAAGGTTATGAAAAAGCAGCTGGACTCCAATCTGCAGCCCGTGCGGGTGATCACACGCACTTCCTCGTCCCGGAACGGCTTGAACTTTCCAGGATCCTCCACCAAGGACCGTGCAAACATGAACTCGGTCATCGCAGATGGCAGCGCCTTCACCTTGGCGACCAGGTCGGACCAACTGAAAGATGCATAGCTGCGAAGATGGGTTTCGCAACAAAGCCTGCAAGCATCACTGTGCGGCACACGAACTCGAAGGGTCTCGATCATGATGATCTTGTACATGTTCCAAGCGATCGTCACCATGTCGCCATTCTCGTCCTGAAGCAATCCAGCAGTTCTTCCAGTGACTCACGAAAAAAATATTTCCATACAGCAAGAATCAAGAAGGTGACGAAATTCTGACTTCCGACTTTTATCCGGCTGTTGCTTTGCACAACTCAAGAATCAAGAATGCACGACTCAACTCTCTCCCAGCCGGGCCTTCTCCTTGGAGACAGATTTGGCCAAACAGATCGCACAGGTGCAAACCTCCGCCTCCAACAAGCGGTTGACACGCTCTTGCACAGTGCTGCCCACGGGCTCGTCATCCTCACCATCCGATGTGGACAAAGCGTCCTCATCCCGCTTTCTTTTGCTGCCAGCGCTCGACCTCCCAGATCGAACCGACGCGGCAGGAAGCTCGGAATTGTCAAAGATCTGGCCGACGCCATTTGCACCATCAGCAGCTTCCGAGGGCTTCGACTTGGACGGCTTGGACTTGTCCTTGTCTTTGTCCTTCTCCGGGCTCGCATCTTCAGCATGAAGGTGTCCGAAAAGATCTGCCTCTAGACCCATCTCTGCAAAGATGTCTTCCATGTCCGACCCGTCGTTGTCCGCCATGGCCACGGTAAAACCACAAAATTTGCTATACAATGTATGCAACTTGCACCTTTGTGCCGAATCATGTTCCAACATGGTCGAACAGGTGTCTGTGTTTGCAAGTCACACAAGTCTGCAAGTCCCGAATGCGGGCAGCCAGCCAGAGATCCACAGACCAAAACTGCAAGAGAACACGAACACGTCCCATGCAGCCCCATGAACGTACAACCGTCCTGCTTGCTGAGGCTTTCTTGGATTCTTGAGACACCCTCTGGGTCCTGTGGGTCCCTGAGTCCATGGCCATAGCCATAGGCCATAGTCATAGTCCTGCCCGAAGCACGAATCACTAATCGCATAAGCAATTTTCTGACACACTCCGGCACACGTGGTCACGTGGGTCACAACGAGAACAAAACTGTGGCCACTGTTCCCCGGCCCGATCAAAGCAACACAGCAACAGCAGAAAATCAGTAACCCCGGTAAACTGACTTAGTAAACTTTGATTCCTTGATTCTGGACTCGAGTGCTCAGCGGGTTACACGTCACGAGTGTCACGAGTGCAATGCCTGCAATGCAAATGCCAAACCGATGTACCCTAAGCGGTTCATGAGCGGACTGAACAACAGAGTCCACAAGAGTAGTCACAAGAGTCACAAGAGCATGACTCAACAGGCTTGTCACGTCGGGCGCTTGCTTCTGCTTTCAAAACGCAAACACCTCACAGTGGATAACAAAACTGAGCTCAGCAGCTCATCTAATCTAGAATCTAGCACTGGTCACTGGCCGTCACTGGCCGCCCCGCTGTCGGCCTCGGACTCGTCATCATCATGGTCCTCACCGTGCAGATGTCTTGTGACTTGTGAGTCTTGTGATTTGGAAAAGCAATAGTCACGTGGAGTTTACAACCGACCGGTCCTGCGAAGCAACTTCCACATCAGCAGCCAAGCCCGGCAAGAAACGCAGGGCTGCCATCAAGGCGCTGCAACATACTACAGTCACGGATGGGACTGCCATGGCCATGCCCACCAAGTCGGTGATATCTCTGTTCTTCATGTGATGACGTGCACTTTCTGCATAAGTGCGAGGGAACCCAAGTATCACTAAGAGCTCTTCGGGCACGAGCAATCGATCACGTTCAAAGGAATACAGCTGTGTGCTTGTCGTCAAAGTGCGGTAGCGCCCCCATGGCATTCTCACAATGTTTTGGGAAAGGTCTGCAAAGAGGGATCTGGCGACATCCTGCCGTGCGTGCGGCTCCTTTCGCTGCTTGAGCATATCCTCGGTTTTCAAAAAGGCAACGTCCACCAGTGCTTTGATTCGATCGGTGATGGCTATGCCTTGCAAGCGTGCACCTTCGCTCCATGGTCTCGCCGATTGCCGCTGAAGAGGCAAGGTCTCTCGGATTTCCTGCTCTTGCAATCGCCACTTCGGATCTGCGGTCGCCGGTTTCTGGCCACCACGGCCGTGGACACCAAGCGTTGCCTGCACAGATGGGGCATGCTGAAGGCCCCGTGTCTGTTTGAATTCAGGTTACTTCAGTTGAGCCGTTTAGCAGCCGAAACCTTCAATCATCAATGGTCAGATAACTCTATCAGATCCTATCAATGTCACACAATAGTAAATTTGCCATCCGCAAAACAATCCACCTAGGACCTGGGACTGTCAACATAACATGGAAATCTCACAACGGTCAGGATTCACGGCCATTCTGATTCTTCCCCAGGTCCATGGACCTACGGACTTGTCACGAATTGTCTGTCCATTCATGCCGTTAGTTAGTGAGTGTGTCTATAGTATACTATGACTATGATAACACAGCAGACATAACAAATTGATTCGCCACTACACTGTCACTACACCGAATCAAATCGTTCGGGCAAAGCAGAAACCGAACCCGTAACAGCAGAATTTGAGGTGCTACCTTCGTGAAAGCTTGCAACAACTTCTGAGCCCTGAGTCTAGGTCTAGGTCTAGGTCCGGTTAGAATCTTCTAGGTCCTAGGTCCGTGGAGTCAGACTTTAGTCTGAGTCTTCAGGAGTCTAGTCTAGTCTAGAGTCTAGTCTAGGCCTAGGCCTAGGCCTAGGCCCCTGAACTCTCCACCGCTCCGTTCAGAATGCGCCGGTCCTCACTAAGAGACTGACTATGACTATGTGACTATGTGACAGTGACGACATGGAAGTTGGTGTGGTGTTTAGTCTAAGTAAGAGTCTAAGTCTAAGTCTCAGTCTAAGTCCTCAGGCTGAGGCCTGAGGCTTACCGAGCGGCTTATCCTGAGCTGACAGCAGATATCAGATAGCATGACTCATGACCAGTGACCAGACCTGTCATCTGTTAGAATTTGTTGCAGGCATATCCAACAAGAATCTTTTCAATTCGTAGGAAGTCTGACAACCCTTGGATTCTCGGGCTCTTCCACGTACTAGTTACTAGTGACTCGTGGCTAGCGGCTAGCGGCTAGCGACCAGCGGCTGTCCCTTTATGGCCTCTTTATGATGAAAACTGGACAAAAAACCACAGTTGCAGCTCATCTGCCAAGCCAAGCACATTTGAAGTTTACTGAGTTTACTCGGGTCCATGAGTCCGTGAATGATAGGGCCGAGTTGACAGCCAAATCACAAATTTGGTTTGCCTGCGGCCTGGTAATGCTTCCCGGAAGGAGTCTTTTGTAGATTCTAGATTCTAGTAATTCTAGTAATTCTATTCTATTCTAGTATTCTATTAACTAATACTTGGAGACTTAGTGACTTAGTAGATGTTGTGGACTTGGTTTTTTTATTTATTTCCACGTCACGTCAGCTGCGATTATACATGAGTATTTAATATGTTATCGGGACTCTGCCCCTTCTGAACTCTAAAATCTAAAACTAAAATCAATAACTCCTCCAAAAGCTTCGTGTTTCCCACCGACACTCGTTTTTGCGGCTCTTGCGGCCACAAATCCGCTTGGCTTGGATTGTCTTTTGGATTGCTACATTGCAGGTTGAGGCAAGCATGAAGCAAGGGTTTCGCCTTCGTCAATCTGTGAGTTGTTCCTGGTCC